CAAGCTGCCAGGTCCAGGATTTGAACCACAGTCATCCATGTAAGAGTCCAGTACCCTTAGCCACCACGCCACCTGCTGACCCAAAATTAAAAAAACAATTAACAATTATTTTATTTCAGAAGCTGGCAGGTGGCGTGATTGTTAAAGACTCTGGACTCCCACATGGCCAGCCATGCATGGTTCAAGTACTGGACCTGGTGGCTTGCTTTCTCACTTTCCTTCTCCTTGTCTGTCTCTCTCCGATCAAACTGAAAAAAAAAAAAAGTTAAATAAAATAAGTATTGTTAAAAAACAATTATTTCATTTATTATCATCATTATTATTTAATTTGAGCAGAGAAAGACAAAGAAAGAGGGAAAGCAGGAAAGCGAGCCTCCAGGTCCGGGCTCAAATCACAGTTGGCCATGTGGGAGTCCAGCACCTTAACCACCAGGCCTCTAATTTTAGAATTTTATCAGAGAGAGAGAGACAGAGAGAGATGAAGAGTAGGAAAGGAAGCTGCCAGGTCCGGGACTTGAACCGGAATTGATCATGTGGGAGTCCCGTGCCTTAACCCCTACGCCACCTGCCAACCCGTGGCCCCACCTCCCTTTTTAAGAGATTTTTGCTATAGGGCGTGTGCACTCATCAGAGACACACACACAGAGAGAGAGAGAGAGAGAGAGAGAGAGAACCACGGGGGGGGGCGGCCACAATACCTTCTCCTCCGTTCTTCTCTTGGGATCTTGGGCACGCAGGCACACATACACACTCACCTGGTGTGAGTTTCAAGCTGCCGGGTGTGATACTCAAACTGCCATTTGCCTGGCGGGAATCCAGCATCCCAGCCACTATGCCACCCACTGGCCCCATAGCAGATTTGCTCTACAGCACATTAAAAGGCTAATAAATAAAATAAAAGATGAACCACGTTAAAGCCACTGGATTGCGACTCAGTGGCATTTAGTGTATTCGTAGTGCCATGTGACCGCCTTCACCTACTTCCGAAACACTGGGGCGGTGGGGGCGGTGGCGGTAATGCAGTGCCCTCTGCAGCCTGACTCACACGGGGACGTTGCTCGTGCGTACCCTGAGATCTCCCTGCACGTGGCGGCCACCTGCGACGCCTGAGTCGAGCTAGATCGTGGCGTGGAGATCGCTCTCCCTTTCACACTCTCTCTCTCTCTCTCTCTCTCTCGGAAGGAATTATACACTTAAAGCTTTTTTTTTTTTTTTTTTAGAGAGAGTTTTGCTATAGGATGCATGCCGTCACCAGAGAAATAGAGAGACAGAATGCGAGAAATCACCCCTGCAGGGGGAATGGCCACGCAGCAATCCCTTCTCCTCCATTCTCCTTTCGGGATCTGGGGCGCGCACGCACACGTGCCCGGTGTGAGCTTTAAGCCATGGGGTTCGGGACTCAAACTGTAGTTGACTACACGGGAGTCCAGTGACGTAACCATTCCGCAGTCCTCTGCCCCGACTCCCCAGTTAGCCAGGTCCACAGGCACACACCACCCCCTGACCCGTCAGGTTCCGGTTGATCTGAGATCCAAGTCTGGCCCTCGCATGTGGCCCAGGGTGACTTTGCATGTGATGGCCACTGTTGTCTCCAGCAGGTTTTGTCACTTGGGCCACAACAGCTGGGTCTACTTACAAAACGTTTTCTTCACCCCAGAAACAAACCCATATCCACGAAACAAGTAGTCCTCTTTTCTGACTTCTCCCAGCCCTTAGCAACCTCAAATCTGCTTTCTATCTCTATGGATTTACCGGTTCTGAATATTTCATATAAACGGTGTCATACATCGTACGTGTGCATGACTTCGGTGTTTTGCTTCTTGCACTTAACATTTCTGAGGTTCTTCCATATGACAGCATGTGTCAGGACACCATTCCTTTTTCTGGCTGAATAATATTCCACTTTTTGGATATGCCATATTTAATTTTTCTTTTTTTTGGAGAGGTGTTTGCTATAGGGCGCATGTACTCCCCAGAAAGGCAGGGAGAGACAGAGACAGAAAGCGAGAAATCACCCCCCAGGATGGACAGCCACGCTGCAATCCCTTCTTCTCCATTCTCCTCCCAGGATCTTGGGCATGCACACAAATGCGCCTGGTGTGTGCTTAAGCCACGGGATCTGGGACTCGAACTATGGTCGACCACGTGGGAGTCCAGCGACATAGCCATTATGCCAACTGCTGGCCCCCATATTTTGTTTTTCTGTTTCTCAGTTGACATTTGGGTAGTGTTTCTGCCTATAGGCTATCGTGGGTAGTGCTGCTATGCATATTTCCATCCGAGTGTTTGTTTGAGTCCCTGCTTTCAGTTTCATTGGGGATATGCCTAGGAGTGGAATTGCTCAGCCAAATGGTTATTCTGTGTTTAACTCTGAGAGCTGCCAGACCGTTTTCCCCTGCGGCAGAACTATTTTACATTTTCACCAGCAGAGTTTGAGAGTTCTCCATATCCTCACCAACATGTATTTTCCTGTTTGTGTTTTCAACTCTACCATTCTAGTGTATTACGGGCCATCTGTGTATCACGTTTGGAGAAATGTCTGTTGAAGGTCTTCTGCCCATTTTTGAATCGGGTTGCTTTTTGGGGGTTGAGTTAAAAGGTTTTATATATTCTGGACACTTGAGCCTTATCAGATAAATGCTCTGCAAATATTTTTCCCATTCTGTAGGTCGTCTTCTTATTCCCTTGATGGTGTCCTTTGATGTACAAAAGTGTTTAATCTTGATGAAATCCAGTTTACCTATTTTTTTAAAGAATTATTATTTTATTTAACTTTAGTAATTTATCCATCCATTTTAATTTGACCAGAAAGGGAGAGAGAAAGTGAGAAAGCAAGCTGTCAGGTCCAGGACTCAAACCATAGTCATCCATGTGGGAGTCCAGCACCCTTAACGACCACACCACCTGTTGCCCTGCTATTTTTTTTTTTTATTTTGGTGTCATATCTAGGAATTCATTGCCAAATCCAGGGTCACAGAGATTTGCCACCCGTTTTCTGCTGTTTTATAGTTTTAGCTTTTATAGAGAAAGTGAGACTTGAACTAACTGGGACTTGAACCGCTGTTAGTCATGTGGGGGTCTAGCATTCCTAACCACCACACCACCTACCAGCCCCCCATGCACTTTCTGAAATCCCCTTGTGTTTAAGTCATGGATCCACTTAGAGTTAGTATATGGTGTGAGGTACGGGTTCAGTGTAATATTGTTTGTATATGGTGTGAGGTACGGGTTCAGTGTAATATTGTTTCCCCATGGTTAGTCAGTTCTCCCAGTACCACTTGTGCAAGAGACTTTTTAATTTTTTTTAAAATCCATTGAATGTTCTTGGCATCACTGTTGAAAATCAGTTAACTGGGACCAGCAGGTGACGTGGTGGTTAAGGGTACTGGGCTCCCAGATGCCTGTGGTTCGAGTCCTGGACCTGTTGGCTCACCTTCTCATTTACCCTTTCTCTTTTTCTATCACTCTGTCCTTCTCTTTTCAGATTAAAACAAGTAAATAAATAAATAAACTTAAATAAAATAATTCTTAAAAAAAGAAAAGAAAACTAAAAGCAGTTGATCATAAGTGTAAGGGTTTATTTCTGGAATCGAATTGATCTACATGTCTGTTCTTTTGCCAGTCCTACAGTGGGCTTTTTTTTTTTTTTTTTTTTAATACCTTTGTATTGAGTCGTTGAGAAACTCAGGATTCATTTTTGCATGGGGAACACAGACAAATACATCGTGACTTTCCCGACGACCTAATAGTACACTTTGAAATCGGGAAGTACGAATCCTCCGATTTTGTCGTTCTTTCTTTTTAAAATTTTTTTAGTTTATTAATCCTCTCATGAAAAATCCGCACAATCACCGCAGATAGTCATTGGCGAATCTTTCCTCCTGCGACTTTTTGCCAACACCAGCATTGGCCTTTGCAGCCCCCCTGACTTTCTCCATTCTCTTCTTGCGTTCCTTCCGCTCTTTTCTTGACGTCTTTTTCTTCTCATCAAGGCCATGTCTCGCAAGTCTATGTCTGGGTTCATTTTTCTTCGCATAATCCAAAGGATCGTAAATCATGCCAAAGCCAGCTGTCCTGCCACCACCAAAATGGGTTCTGAACCCAAACCCAAAGATGCCACCTGGTGTGGCCTTGTACCTCTTTGCTAGTTCTCCCCGGGTTTCTGCCTTAGGTACTGTCGCCTTCCCGGGGTGAAGGCCACCCGCGGCCATTTGTCTCCTCTGAAGTCGTCGGTCGGTCATGAATCTCCTGGTCCGGACCGTCACCGCGTCATTCGTGATGGCGGGATAGCCTCAAGCAGCCGGGGACGAAAAGCGTCGCTCTCTTTCAAGAGTGCTTTGGAGTTTAGGATACTCTGAAGCATCTTTCCCACATGTGCTGTTACACTCATCTCTGTACATTTAATTTGTCGTTATCCACTGAATGAGCCGTGTGGAAGCGGCCACAGAAATCCTGAGAATTGGCTCTAGGGCCAGCTCCCGGCGTGGTGGTGAAGGTGGCTGGATCCCACATGGCCAGCAGCACAGTTCAAGTCCCAGACCGGGCAGCTGGAGAAGCACCTGTGTGTACACGCCCAGAATCCCGGAAGGAGGGGGACACGGAGGAGGAGCGATTGCAGCCTGGCCAGTCCCCACTGCGGGGAGGGTTCTTGCTTTCTCTCTCTCTCTCTTTCTCCGTCTCTGTCTCCAGTGAGTTTAAATGCCCTCTGGCAATTGTTTTGTTTTGTTTTTTTTTTAAAGAACAGGGGGCCCAGACGCCTTATCCAGGCGCCAAGGCTGGGTCCCCGTGTCTGCCCAGGCCACCACGTGGGTGCTGGACACTGAGCTCCTGCAGGACACAGGCTGCATCCCTGCTGCCGGATCAGCCACCACCTGTCCCCAGTCCCCAGTGTGGGCCAGGCAGGCACCCGGGGAGGATCTGGGGGCCTGAGGGGGGGATGTAGGCTTAAGCAAGGGTAGTGCCGCGGAGCCAGCGCTCACACCCGCTCTCTCCTCCGACAGATGAAGACGTGTGCGTGTTCAAGTGCTCGGTGTCCCGGGAGACGGAGTGCAGCCGCGTGGGCAAGCAGTCCTTCATCATCACGCTGGGCTGCAACAGCGTGCTCATCCAGTTCGCCACGCCCAGCGGTACGTGTCCCCCTCCGGTCCTGGCGGCGGCCAGAGCGCCTGGGCCCTGACTGGGTGCGGGCGGGCGTGGGCATGGAACCTGGGTCGACCGCAGCCCGTTCCTCCCAGCGAGTGCACGCTGTCCTCAGGTGTCCTGTTCCCACGTGCAACGCCCGTCTAGGTGGAAATCCAGTCGTTGGGACCAGCAGACCGTGTCACGGCTCTGTCGTTGGACTCCCATGTAGTCAACCGTGGTTCAAGTCCCGGACCCGGTGGCTTAAACTCACACCGGGCATGTGTGCGTGCCTGCTCAAAATCTGAAGGGAAGAATGGAGGAGCGGGGATTGTGGTGTGACCATCCCCCAGTGGGTGATTTCTGGCTTTCAGTCTCTGTGTCTCTCTGGCGAACACACGTGCCCTGTAGCAAACTCTCTCTTAAAAAAGAAAGAAAAACAAAATCTGTTGGTGCTGCTTAGAGCAGCCACTTGCCCAGACCCCCCTCGCCACCCCTCCACAGCCTAGGGGGGCTCTCCTGTCCCCTCCTCTGGGGTCCTCACCAGCTGCCTGGTGCGGCCACTGCCCAGGCCTGTTGCGGGAGCCTGGCAGGCAGCCCTGGACGAGCGTGAGGACGGGGTGAGATGGGGGCCTAGAGGCTGGGGGGCCTTGCTGTGGGCACAGACATGCCACTGGAGCCCCCTCCCCAGGCCCACCTCGGGGACACGCGGGGGCTCAGCTGTGTTGGCGAGAGACACCCAGGACTGGGGGCTGTTGGAAGGTCCCCACGGGGCTTGGTCACCAGAGGAGTCAAGTGAGCCTGGTGGTGGGTGCGGGGGCCGGGCCACAGAAGGCCTGCCTGTCCACAGCCGCCCCGTCTGCCCCTGGCGTCCCTTACGTTGTCAGTGCCACCGATAGAAGGGACTCACATGGCCTGGGTGGTCTCCGGGCAGCCAGGGCCCGGGCAGAGGCAGCGGGGAGGCTCGTAGTGGGCGGGAGCAGCCAGGGGCCCTGCACCTCAGCCCGGCGTGCCTGGCTCCCTTTTCCAGTTTACTTATTTATTTTACGAGCAAGCGAGGTAGGTCGTACCCCCGACGGGCCTGACGCTGCCACCCGCCTGCGGCCCCCTCACAGGATTGTGGGTACGTGTGGCCCGAGCACAGATCTGGAGCCTTCCTGGTGGGTCGGCCGCACAGAACGCTGTGTCCCACCCCACGCCACCACGTAGCCCCCCCCCATTTCTTTCTTTACAGACATAAATGATGTAATTTGTTATAGAAACGTAAGTTAAAAACCCCGCTCGCAAGGATAACCATCAGAGGGGTATTCTAGTTGGCGTGGTGGTGAAGGCGCTGGATCCCACAGGCCGACTCTGCACTTCAAGCCCTGGGTCCGGTGACTTAAAAATCACGCCAGGCTCGCGTGTGTGCGTGCATCCCCAAAACCCCGAGAGGAGAGTGGCCGTCCCCCCGCAGGGCAGTCTTGCACTTTCCTTCTCTCTGTCTCCGCCTCTCACTGCCAAGTGCACATACCTTATAGCAGAAAAAAGCCAGATACTATAAATTCCTCTAGTGTTTACAAGTATAAGAATGTTTATATTAAAAGTATTTTTCTTTTTCAATTTAAAAAAAAAATTTTTTATAAGATACATGGGAAAAACAAATAGACTATTTCAGCCCTTTTTTTTTTCTTTTTGGAGAGGTTTTATCGCTATAGGGCGCGTGCGCTCACCAGACAGACAGAGAGAGACAGAGACAGAAAGCGAGAAATCACCCCCCAGAGAGGATGGTCACGCCGCAATCCCTTCTCCTCCATTCTCCTCTCAGGATCTTGGGCATGCATGCACACGCGCCCGGCGTGAGTTTAAGCCACCGGGTCTGGGACACGAACTGCGGTCAACTACGTGGGAGTCCAGCGACATAGCCATTATGCCAACTGCTGGTTCCATATTTCAGCCCTTTTTGAGCATAAGGTTTATTGGCCTTAAGTGGATTCACCATTGCAGGCCCCGTGGCCTAGTGGTGAAGGGAGCCAGATCCCACATGACTGACCATGAATTGTGTCCCAGCCTTGGCAGCTTGAAACAAACGCCGGCTGGGACCAATGGGCGGCATGGTGGGTAAGGTGCTGGACTCTCACGTGGCCAACCATAGTTTGAGTCCTGGACCTGGTGCCTTGCTTTCTCACTTTTTTTCTCTCTCTCTCTCTGTCTCTCTCTGGTCAAATTAAAAAATAAGTGAATTAATAAAGTTAAATAAATAATTTTAAAAAAAAGAGATATATTTGCATGTGTGCCCCAGATCACAGCAGGATGCAGAGATGCAGGAGAAGGGGTTGCAGCACGACCACCCCTGACTGGGGGTACTTTCTCTCTGTCCCTCTGTCTCACCCTGGTGAGTGCACACACATGGCAATTAAAAATTTAGAAAATATAAGGATAAACGCACTGTGGAGCCATCACTGTGTCCAGAACTCTGTCACCCTCTCATCCCATTGCAGTTTCTTTTTTTTGGAGAAGTTTTTGCTATAGGGCGCATGTGCTCTCCAGAAAGAGAGAGACAGAGAGACAGAAAGCAAGAAATCACCCCCCAGGGGGGATGGCCATGCCGCAATCCCTTCTCCTCCATTCTCCTCTCGGGATCTTGGGCACGCACGCACACATGCTTGGTATGAGTTTAAGCCACCGGGTCCGGGACTCGAACCGCGGTTGACTACATGGGAGTCCAGTGACATAGCCGTTATACCAAGTGCTGGTCCCCCCATTGCATTTTCATTTTAAATTTTTTTCTTTTTTCTTTTTAGAAATTTTTGCTATAGGGTGTGTGTCCTCACCAGAGAGACAGAGAGACAGAAAGTGACAAATCACGCCACAGTGGGGGGATGTCACACTACAATCCCTCTCCTCCATTCTCCTCTGTGGATACTGGGCACACACGCACACGTGCCTGGTGTGAGTTGTAAGCTGCTGTGTCCAGGATTCGAACTGTAGTTGACAACATGGGAGTCCAGCGATGTAACCATTACACCATCTGCTGGTCCTGCATTTTTATTATTTTAAAAATTGCCTTTATTTTCACTTTTTTTTTTCTTCTGAAGAGGAGGAGGAGGAAGAGAGACCCTCAACAGGGTCCCTGGGCTGAAGTCTCCCCCAGCCCCAGCCAGCCTGGCACAGGCATGTCGCCATGCCCAGGGGGATCATGGGACATGAATCCACGACCTCTCCTGCATGGGATGGAGTATCACACTGTCACTGCACCGCTGTCCCCGAGAGATTGTCTTATAAATACTGTTCTACTTTTCTTTGACTTGGTACAATGTAGTGGTCACTTTGTCCGTTAATGTATTCTTTATTTATTTGACTATTTATTTATTTATTTAAATTTGACCTGAGAGGGACAGAGTGAGAGAGAGAGAAAGAGAAAAAGTGAGAAAGCAAGCTGCCGGGTCTGGGACTCAAACCTCAGTTGTCCATGTGGGAGTCAGTCCAGTGACCTTAACTGCCACTCCATGTGCTGGCCCCAAATGTGTTCTTTTTTAAAAAAAAAAAAAATTATTTAATTTTATTTATTTATTAATTTATTTTTAGTTTGACCAGAGAGACAGAGAGAGAGAAAGTGAGAAAGCAAGCCGCTAGGTCCGAGACTCGAACCATGGTCGGCCATGTGAGAGTATCCAGCACCTTAACCACCATGGCACCTGCTGGTCCCCCAGATGTATTCTTTTTGGAGGACGCTAACCTCACGTCCTGGGGAGCGTCCCTGGGAGGTACCCAGGCCCTCTTCCTGGACAGTGGTGTGGCAGCCCCTGCACCCACTGCCTCGCACAGAGGCTGCCGTGCGCTTCTGGGTGGGCTTGGGGTTCTTTGCCGGGGTCGGCACCCGTGTCCTTCACAGCCTCCTCAGGCTGCGTCTAGTGGTCAGGCTCCCACTCACTCCGCCAGGCACCCCCTGAGAGGGCGGGGACCTGCCTTCTCCCTCAGTGCCCGTGTAAACGTCACCGGGGGAGAAGCCAGGGTGTGAGCCGGTGGCCACGTGCACCGACCTGTGGGCTGGGTCACTGACCGCGGTCCCCGGGACCTGGCTTCCCCGTCCAGATTTCTGCTCCTTCTACAACATCCTGAAAACCTGCCGGGGCCACACCCTCGAGCGGTCCGTCTTCAGCGAGCGGACAGAGGAGTCCTCTGCCGTCCAGTACTTCCAGGTGGGTCGGTGCTCACGCTCTGCCAGGCCGCCGTCACCCTGCGGTCCCCGCCCGCCTGCCCGCAGGAGGCTGTGCGCCACAGGGCAGGTCCACCCGGGTTCCCGTCCTGGCTCAGTCCCTCCAGAGGCGCGTAGCCCTGGGCAGGTTCCGTCCGCCTGCCGGGCCTCAGTTTCCTCATCTGTGAAGTGGAAGAGCAGCAGGTGCCAGCGTGAGGGTTACTGGAGGACCGAGTGCAGGTGAAGCTCAGGGCCGCGGGCGCTGCGAGTAACGGTAGTGCAGTGGCCCTGTCCCGAGCGCTCCCGGTGTGCCAGGCCCCGGTCTAAGCGCTTTGTCGTGCACGGAAGCACTTGGACCCTCCCAACAACTCTAGGAGGTAAGTGCTGTTGTTGTCCCCATTTTACAGATCAGAAAGCTGAGGCTCAGAGGGGTTAAGTGACTTACTCCAAGTCACACAGCTATTATGCAACAGAGCCAAGATGGGAAGCCAGGTCTGCCTGATGCCAAAGCCTGTGCCCCTGCCCAGGTGCCACGCTGCCTCCCGACCGCCCGTTGTCTTACAGAGAGACACCGCACCTCGCCTGCCTGGCACTCTGAGCTCTAGGGTCCTGCTCGACCCACTCCTTCACTTCTCTGGGGGCCCTGAGATGGGGCAGGGGGCCCCGATGCCAGAACCACACCTGTGCTACAGCTTGACTTCTGGAGGGCCGCTGGGCCTGGGCAGCATCCAGCGGTGTCCTCCAGCCGCCGTGATGGCGGGGGCCCTTCCCATGGGTGGCCTCGACTA